TGAATTTAAACTTCAAAAGGAAGCAGTGCTGCTCGGTTTGAAATTACACACAAAGACATTTCTGTAAAACATAAGATGCCTGGCAATGAATTTTACCTTGGTGCCACCATGAAATGAGCAAACATGAGCAAAAGATCACGAGTCTCCTGTGATGACACGACCGGATTTAGGGGGTGGTGTCCCAATAATTTGGATATGTTTACGCAAACGCGCAGCTGTCAGACTAAACAAGCCCAAATAAAATCAGTGAGATGGATCGCCGTCGTACCAGAGCAGTTTCCACAGGAGGTGTAGAAAATAACAAAACACACACACACACATAAATGAAAACATACATCAAAATCGGACATTTTCCACTAGATGAATCAGTCGTCTTAAAATGAGTCGATGAAGTCAACCAAGACAAAAGCTCAGTCATATCTGTTATAGTTTTTCTGTGTGTGTTTCTATTCAGAAAGATCTGTACAGATCTGCACAGTCATGTGAAAGCCTTTATGTTTTTTTGTTTGACAACATGATAAATAGCTATTTCATTTCATCTTCACAGTCTTTTCTTTGAAATCAGACTAATCAGGTCACATCATGTGACCTGATTAGAGTTTGGCTTTTGAAACATCATTGTTACCTAAAAGAATAGAAAGTTTTACGGTGTAAGTTTGTGGATAGAGCTCAAGACTTTGACACTTACTTTCAAATGCAAAAACGGGTTTTTGTTCTTAACGTCCTAACGTGAGCAAAAAGTGTAGTTTTCAACCCTATTACTCTTTTGAATATATGCTAAAATACTCGTCTCAAACACTTATTTTACTAATTGTTACATAAGAAATGTTTTATATACCACAAAAGAAGATAGAAAAGTACACTCTATTACATTTTTACAAAGTACACTGTTGTTGAATTCCTGCTTTGAGCAATGTACAAGTTCAAAGCTTTTTATTATTGTTATTATATTATCTTTTTATATCTTTTTATCAAAGTAATTATATTTATGATAAAAAGGAAATATACCACTGCTGTGGTTTATTTCCATCTTTTGTGTAAACCAAGGCGTTTTCTTCAAATAGGATACAGGCTACTTCAG